CCTTAAGAAAGAAAGAAAGAAAGAAAGAAAGAAAGAAAGAAAGAAAGAAAGAAAGAAAGAAAGAAAGAAAGAAAGAAAGAAAGAAAGAAAGAAAGAAAGAGGGAGGGAAATAAAGGAAGGAAGAAAGAGAGAGAGAAAGGAAAGAAAAAAAGCTGGGGCTGTAGAGATGGCTCAGAGATGAGTATTAGCTGCTCTTCCAGAGGAGCCAGGTTCAAGTCCCAGCACCCACATGGCAGCTAACAACTGTCTATAACTCCAGTTCCAGGGGTTCTGACACCCTCACACAGACACACATGCAGGCACACCAATACACATAAAATAAGTAAGTAAATAAAAATAAATACATGGATGGATAGATAGATAGATAGATAGATAGATAGACAGACAGACAGATAGATAGATACAGCTGAAGCAGTAGCATAAGCTGCATGCCCTACCAGAAGATAGGTGGTGGAGACTGAATCCCAAAGAGCTGGCAGACCAGCTGGCTTGGTGACTGCAATAATGAACAAGAAACACTGTCTCAAACAAAACAGAAACAACACTTGAAATTGTCCTCTGATCTCTACACTCAAGTCTATCCCCTCTCTCTCCCACACATATAAATACACATACAATACATATCACACACACGCAAGTTAGAGAACATTGAGAAAGACCCACACATAGCCCTCTGACTTCCACATGCACTCAAAAACTTGTGTGCCCATGCATGCAAAAGAAAGAGTAAGTGAAAACTGGTGGGTTGGTATATTATAAACCAAATCACGAGACCTGCCTTCCTCCTTCCCTCTCCCTCCTGCTCTGTCTTGCTCCCTTCCTCCCTGTGCCTCTCTCTCTTTCCTTTTCAGGAAGGAGCCCTGCCACAAAGCCACACCCCCAGCCATGGCCTTTCCACTTAACAGCTGTGATTGAAAAGATAAGCTTCCCTATTGCCAAATCAGCCAAAGGTGGTCCCGGCCCTCTGGCATCAGGGCTACAGGAGTACTGTTTCAAAACAGAATCCTTTCATTCCTTCAAAAAACTTACTCTACACTCCAGTAACTCAATATCACATCATCCACGTTCAGTTAGAGATGAGGGCCAACAGGAACCTGAGGCTGGAGCCGGCAGCCTGCTATACCCAGCACTGGGAAGCTGAGGCAGGAGGACGGTAAGTCTGACACCAACCTGAACTACCAGACAAGAATCTTTCTTATTAAAAACAACAGAAACACGAGGCTGGGTTTGAAGAGTTTGATTGAGACAGATCTGATTGCCTTAATTAAGCTCAAAACTTCTGTAAAGTTGACCTTGCAGGAAAGCCACAGGCCTGCGCTGTGGGGGAGTAACTAAGGGAAGTTATGTCATTTGGCTAAGCTTAAAGTGGTCAGGGAGAGCAGAATGAACCAGAGAGCAAATAAACAAGCAACCAGAGGGCTTTCCAATTTGTAAATGGCCAAAGCCTACTCCAGTCAAGAAATCAATACATGCACACACGTGTGAAAATGTTAATTTGCTCCACCCTTGGGGGCAGGAGGAACCAGAGCTGACACTTACCTAGTACTCTCAGGAAAGCTTAAAGTTCAGCCAGGCTTTCTGAGACTTTGGCCTGAGGATTAACAGAACTCTGGAGAAATGCTTTCAGTTTTAAATGTGGTGAGTTACTTTGTAACCCCTTATTAAGCACCTTCTGTTTTCTAGGGCTTGCCTTACAAGTGGTGGAACATCCCAAAGACAACTTGGTATACAGTCTGCTCTCTAGTGGCCTGAGGTGCTGAGGCTCTACACCAGAGGGAGAGAGCTGGGGCAGCAGCTGCTGCATCAGTAGCAAATTGGAGAACCGTTCCGGGAAAAACTATTGCTTCCTAACCAAAAGAATGTTATCTACAGCTGGGTGGAGACGTGCCTGAACTGTAATCCAGTTGGGCGGGTCAATCACCTGGCCAAAAACC